CAGTGTCATAGAACATTCCACTGATAATGACATTGAAGTTCATGGGCTTCCTTAACCCAAGGGCTAAACGTGGCTGCACTTGGGTGGGGGCTATGCCTGACCAGTCCTTTACAAAGCAGTCATTTCCTAGTACCCTTCGTTTTGGCTAAATATGCACTGGCTCTCAGTCAGGTGCCTTGGTTCTTGTTAGATTTATTTTGGGTCATATTTCTGAATTGAGAATTACCCTGAGGTGGTTGCCACAAGGTACTGACTTTTATCTATTCCCCCTCTGCCCAGGGTCTGAGGTCCTTCCTAAAACTTTTGTATCTTCCCGTCTAGATCACAGGGTCTGTAGATGTAGGAGCTTAGTTAGGAGTCTCTCAGATGAGGGTTCTGGTATAACTTCATAAAAGATTAGATAAAGGAGCCTTCTTCCTTCAAGAGCAGACTAATCCAACATCAAGCCAATTGGTCTTTTAATCTAATTCACACTGATGTCAGGCATTGTGAAGTGTTTTTTTCTTGAACTTCTTGGATCTAAATGAATCTCACTTAGCACTCTGACACCCATGGCGTGATCCCTAGGCCTATTCTTTAACTTGTTAAAGAGGTAACTTGTTAACATGAAAAGCAACTAGAACCTCAGGGCTCTCAGAGCTGCTTTTCATGGCATTCCTGGAAATGGTAATGGTACTAGGCACTGGCCCTGCAGACAGGGTGTGAGAACTGCAATTATGGGTGCTCACAAAACAAAGTTATACCACATTTAGAGTAGCAGAAACCAAAACAAGCCTCCAGGCTTCAGACAGAGACAAGGCACAGAGCAGTGTGAGTGGCAGCCCTACCTAAAGTCTCTTCCTTCCCTTTTTCTTATTTTTGGAGACAGGGTATCACTTTGTAGCCCAAGCTGGTCTGGAACTCACTATGTAGCTCAGGTTGGCCTCAACCTGGCAATGCTACATCTACCTCCTGAGTGTTAGGATTAGAGGCATGAGTCACCAGACTAGCTCTAAGTTTCAGAAGCCAGTGTCTACTGGAATCGAATACCAAGTCAGCAGAACAGAGACAAAGCTTACAGACCGTTACAATGCTCGGCCAGTCTGCAGTCCAAAGGGGAGATTAAACTGGGGCCACTAGAATGTGACAGCCAGAGAAGCAAGAACAGACAGGACAAGCAGAGAAGGTTACATTATGGTGGGTAGAGGTACACACTGTAGACGGCCAAGAGTCTATTGACTAAAATTGAAGCCAAGGTTCAGGCAGTCACAAGGCAAATTTGTACCAACTATCACCAGGGCTGACTGTCTTCTTCAGGCCCTCAAAGAATCCCTTTGTGGTCATCAGAACTATCAGCAACCGGTTGAGGTACCTTTTGCTCAATGCAGATGAAAATCAAAAATGTCAAAGTGTAGCTTTCCTCTTGTTAGCAGCTCTGAATTGCTGCCACAGATGAAGAACAATGCAGAGAGATGTATTAGATGGTCAGCCAGGCAAACAGAATTGTTGGCTAATACTGTGAAGACCATGGGAGGAAAAAGATAAGAACAGATCCCTTTTTTATCCTGGGGGACCTTCAGTGTTAATGCCAGTACCCTATAAAGACCACAGCTCAAAGAATGAAACATTGAATATTTTTATTTTCATCCTAAATTAGCCATTGGCATTCTCATTTTTATAAATTCCTAACTTAAATGTGTGTGTGTGGGGGGGAAGTTAGTCAATACTCAATATGCTCTTGACAAAGCACGTAATAATCAAGTTTTGCTCTCGAGACTGTCTCTACCAGGAACTGTACAAATGGCTATTTTCAGCTCCAGTCCAGCTACTGAGCTGCAGGTCTCTGGCAGATGCAGTGACTGCCCTAAGCTTCAGTTTCCTCATCTGTGAAATGGGGACAGCTATTCCTATTTGCTAGGGAACAGGCAATACTCAGAGGCTGAACCATAAACATGGTGCCTAGCATAAGATTGGTACTCAGTAAGTGAGAATAATTAGAAAGTAGTAATAGTCTTTTGTGACATGAAAGCAGAAGGCTTTAGTTCAGTGTCAACAACTATGGAAAGCTGTCCCTGTCCCCTAGGTCAACATGAGATGCCAGGCACTCTTAGCTCTGCATTTTGCTAGATGGCATCTCTCTCTAATCTACCAGCTGGTCTATCAGTATCTGGCCTGGAATTGTATGCAGAGAGTCTCAGTCTGCAGACTTGTCTCTGTTGGTAACAAAAGCAGGGAAGCTTGTTGTCTGGAATACAGCACAAGCATGTTGTAAAGCAACAAGGGGCAGGCTAGCCACTCCCAGGAGTGTCTGGCAGGTGGACTATTACTTGGCAAGTATCTGTGGAGTGAAATCCTTTGCTTTTTAAGTAGCAAGGAAACTATTCAAAAGCAGTATTATAGTATAAATAAAAAAGAAATTATCAGTCAAAAGTGACCAAGTGAGATCCTTTTCTGATGACCCCTTGTAGTGATAGTTTACCTAGTTTGTACCTGTTCCTCTTCTTGACAGTACACACACACGAGACAGCAATGACAACTTTTAACACAGCCATGGGGAGGTTTCAAGGAAATGAAGTGGCGTAGAGCCTTCAGAAAGTCCGGAGTCCTCAGAAAAGAATCTGAGAATGGGAGTCTTCCACATGAAGGCCACTTTGAGCAATTTGGCCATTAGCACTTCCTCTACTTGTAGGTAGAAGCAGCAGAGTGCACCACAGAGTGTAAAACAGGAAAAGCTTGGAAGCTCCAGAGAAGCCAAGGAAGAGTGACTCTACTGGACCTCCACCTGAGGGGCTACACTGAGGTGGCCAGATGCTTATACTAATGGACACAGAGGGTTAATCACAGGCTGGTGAGGTGTGCTGAGCATTGGCATAGTACCCACTTTAGGAAGAGTACCATGTACTTCTCACGTGCGTCCTTCAACACCCATCAGTTGTTAGGGACACATATGGAAAGCTCTGCAATAAATAGGTATTCCCAGAACCCAGCTGCCCCTCACTCCAGGAAGCTCCTATCACCAAACAAAACTGTCTGAAGCCACAAAAGCAACAGATTAGCATGGTATGGAGGGTATAGTCCACAAGCCTGGGCGAGTGTGGTCTCCAAGCCCGAGCACACTTGTCAGGTGTCCATTTTCACCACATCCTAAGGATTAACACATTCTATCCAGAGACTTGCTTGAGCTGGACCATATTCCTCTTAATCTATCCTTTTAACTAAATGCCCTTCCTCCAGAAATCCTTGAAAAAGAAGCTGAATGGACAGACTTTAGGAAGTCTAGTCCACATAGCTTTGTACTGGTCATTTAAGTCTCAAAATACTGATACAGATAGTATTCTTATTTTCTGATAATGAAAGTGAGACCCAGGACCATTTGGCATTTAAGACAATGACCTTGTCTCTAAGGTGTCTCACATGCTGGGGCCAGACCTAGGCTACAGCATTGGACAGCACAACCCTCCCCACTGACAAAATGGAAACAAGCATGTAATGAATAAAGGCAGCAGCTATGCTCACAACTATACCACCAACATAGATATATGCTTGGGATCTGGGACACTGAGTGTTGGTGTGACTGCCTCCTGTCTATATCTACCTGTCTGGGCTTTGCTCCAGTGAGAGGCAGAGAGGTACAGAGAGAGCAACTTGCCATGGAAAAGCACAGGGATTGAATTCGGAATCTGGGGAGGCCTGCGAAGCAATGGGGCACATGGGATAGAAACAAACCTCTGTGTCAATTTCAACATAGACCAAGGACAAGTATGAAAAGGCCCTGAAGGAGCTTAATCAGACCACATCAAAGTACACGGAGAACACAGAGCAGGTGTTCAAGCAATGCCAGCAGTTTGAAGCACTTGCACTTCTTCTGAGAGGGCTTTATACACCACATTGCAGATGCCCAGAGGGCCTGTTTGCAGAGCCAGCATACAACATAGCCATGGAAGGCTTAAAACAAGGAAGGCATGGGGGACTTGATGCTGCCAGCTCAAAATGGGTCTGGGCAGCAAGAGAAACTGTTCTGGTACCACAGCTAGGACCAGCATTCTGAAAATCCACCTGGGCTGGTGCAGCATTGGCTAGGCCTCAGGTCTTCTGCCCCCAGGACAGTCCCTTGTAGAGATTGTCTCATCCCTGCTGCCAGCTTGACCATTGACATCTTGGTGACTATAGGTCCTGGGGAGGCCAGAGCGGAAAGAAACTCCAGTTTGACTTATGACATGGTGTGCCTGCATCAGGAGAGACCCACAAAGCAGGACAGATGATGGGATAGAAATCAACTTCCCGGGCTGGAGAGATGGCTCAGCAGTTAAGAGCATTGCCTGTTCTTCTAAAGGTTCTGAGTTCAATTCCCAGCAACCACATGGTGGCTAACAACCATCTGTAATGAGTCTGGTGCCCTCTTCTGGCCTGCAGACATACATACAGACAAGAATATTGTATACATAATAAATAAATAAATAAATAAATAAATATTTTTTTTTTAAAAAAAGAAAGAAATCTACTTCCCTCATCCATCTGGCAGAATCACTGAGAAATGAATGTCAGGTCAAAGCTTGTTGTCAGCAGAAAGTGACATCCTCTTTGTCTCTTCTAAAAACATGGTGAACAGTCATTTCATGGCTGCTCTGCTGTTATTTCATCTCTGTGACATCCTAGAAAGTAGGCAGAACTGTCTCCATCTTGCTGATGGGAAACTGAGCTACTACACAGCTTTTAGGGGACAGGAAAAAAGACAAAGCTGGAACTGCGTGCTGCTCTTCTGTGTGTGAGGTTCCTTCCACTGTGTTTGTACTTGGCTGTGGCAAAGGCCTGAATCAGCACAGCCTGTCTCTATGTTCCAAGCCACGGGGAGGGGGGTGATACATGATGTAGTCACTCCTAGGGCTGCTGTAACAGAATCTGGGTGGCATGGCAGACAAGGGAAGCTTGCCACTCAGTTCTAGAAGACACAAGTCAAAAACCAAGGTGTGGCCACACTCCCTCTGAAGGCTCGAAGTGCCTCTTCTAACTTGTGGAGTCTGCCACAGTCCTCAGCTTTCCAGACAGCTGCCCACTTCTCTTCAGTCCTCTGGCCATCTTCCCCTGACTACCCAGTATAGATTTCTCCTCCTTTATAAGGGCTGCTGTCCTTATAAAGGGGCCGCTTTACTGAACCTGCTTTAAGTTGTTCACTTCTAAAGGACCCTGTTTTCAGCAAAGGTCACCCCCCAAGGTTAAGACTTCAGTCATTGTTTTTGGAGAATGCAATTTAATCCCTAGATATTCCACACTGAAGGAAATTGAGGCCTTGTAAAAGTAAAGACCCACGTATGTAGATAATAAGTGACCTATCAGGTTCAGCCAAGACCGTGTTCTTGCCCCAAGAGGCCGTATTGGGCCTTGTAGTTCTGCCCTCCTCCCATACTACCTTTCACTTGGGGAGGGAAACCTCCAGCTCTCCTGAGAGAAATGGAGGAGGGGACATTCTGACATTCTCCTCTAATGGCTTCTTCCTCAACATGACCTGAGCCAGTGGGACTGCACAGTTGCCACCCACACAGCAGTCCCAGGATCCAACGCAGGACAAGTCTCAGTGTGCCACCTGGTTTGGTGTGAAACTTACTTGTTGGTGGGTCCCAGGTTCTGGAGGATGGTGTCTGCATCTGTACATGTGACGGCCCGGGAATGGCATCCCTGTGTCTGGGAAACAGATTTGTGCAGACTGCAGAGACCACCATGCAGGCTACAGGGCCTGCTGTGGCTGTGAGGAATGATGGCTGGGTCCTGCCTTTTGTAGAGCTGCCTTTCTGTCTCTGATTTAGCTACAAAACCGTTTATCAAAAGCTGGGGAACAGCATCAAAGCAGCTGATGGCTCCTGCTGACCCCTGCTTGGCTGTAGCCCAGGCAGCAAAGAATCTGCTATGCTGGCCCACTAATATCCTGGCCCCACCTGCCTCTTTGCACACTGATGACCATCTGCCAGCCACTCTGGGTGTGAAGTGAGTGCTGGAAAGCAGGGTACAGAAGCCACTTCAGCCTGCAGTTCTGGCTTCCTGGTCCTGCAGCTCACATCTGTCTGAAGAGCCTGTGCTTTTCACAGTAGTCTAGGTGTCTTGCCTGCTGTCCTTCTTCCAGTAGGAATCGGCACTGCCATCCCAGCTACAAAAGGAACTGCCTCTTATCTTCATGGGCTCATCAACACACCTGCAGGAATAGGAAGGAAAAATGATGATGGGGTGTTTATTTTAGGTCCTAATCTGGGTCTTTTTTCTGGGTGTGGGGCACATGCCTCTTCTGCCCAGTCATGCGCTGAGATAAATAACATCCACATGATGTGGCCAATAAACAGGAACAGATATGAGGTGTCATTTCCAAGGTCTTTGAAGTGACTGTTAAACCCTACCTATTTTCTCTTTGGTGGCTGTAGGAAAGGGAGTACTATAGCATAAGAGTTGTAGTGCTACACAGAAGACGGGAACTTTAGACCAGTGGTTCTCAACCTTCCTAATGCTGTAACCCTTTAATACAGTTCCTCATGTTGTGGTGAACCCAACCATAAAATTATTTCATTGTTTCTTCACAACTGTAATTTTGCTACTATTATGAGTCATAATGTAAATATCTGATATGCTGGATATCTGATGTATAACCCCTATGAGGGTTGCAACAGTCACATGCACCCAAAGCTAACTTGCTAGACACAGGGATAAACTACTTTATGCTGAGCCCCTGAGACTTCAGAATGCTAATCAGAGCATGACCTGGCTTATTTGCATAACACAGGTCCCCCTCAAGTCATAGACTTCATTTTCTTCTGGCACTGTTACAGATGCTCCTAGGATCTTCTAGCTGCCAATCTCTTCCCTGGTCACTGTGTTCAATATGAATCATGTAAGTGTCACTCACTTTCTGGAGTTGATACAAAGCTACAGACCATGGATCACTGGACCCTTCTCCAGAACTCTTGCAGTGTGGTCTAAAAGTACCCTTGAAGAGATGCTGGACCTCTGAGTTGGTTTTCTCCTTGTCAGCTAAGCATCATTAAAGAAAGTATCACTTAGAGAACAGCACTCAATGCCAGCAATCCATCCTGTGTGACAAGGGAAAAAGATTCCCCAAGAAGTTGTAGCACTGTTAGCCAGGATAGGACGGAGGCAAGAGAGATGTTCATGAATGGTAATGGTGGTGTCATGACAGTTTGTGATGGGAAAAGAGCCCAGGGGAATGTGTCTCCAGTATGAAGATGGATTTCACAGGGATCTGAGGAGAGAGACAGAGCCCACAGCTGAGGGTTTAGGCAAGGAAGGGTGATAGGAAAGAATGCAGAGGCTTTACACAACTGAAAAGACTGAAGTTCACAGGAAGCAAGGCAAGCTCCAAGAAGATGGATGTGCTAGATCAGAAGGGCAGAGAGCCAAAGACAGACAAGAACCATACCAAACCTGGAAGAACTAGGTCAGGAACCAGATGGGCCAGGATCATGGTGGAGGTACTAAGAACAAAGACATTCTTTTCTTTTCCTGGAAAAAAAAAGGAGGAGGAGGAGGAGGAGGAGGAAGGAAGAAGAAGGAAGGAGGAAGAAGAAAGAAGAGAAGAAGAAGAAGAAGAAGAAGAAGAAGAAGAAGAAGAAGAAGGAAGAAGAAGAAGGAAGAAGAAGCAGCAGCAGCAGCAGCAGCAACAAACAGAGACAGATAAGCCCAATGTCGGTAGCAAATAGGGGATTTCATAAGAAGCATGGAGAGAAAACAGAACTGCTAAATGTGGCTATGTCTTCTCTGGCAAGGACATTAAGAACATGTCTGTTACATTATTCCCATCCACCCAAGTAAGAAGATGTGGTATTTGAAATATCTCTGGCTTTTAGCTAGAAACCCACTAAATACTCTTTTGCAGTTGAATGGATCAGCACCTAGGCCCTGGATCTAACTGAGGAACAGAGAGAAGAATTATTGTTCAAAGAACGGAAACCAGGACAACCGAGGAAATAGAAGAAAATCAGAGAAGGGTTCCAAAGGACTGAGTAGTTGCTGACTTTCACACGTTTCAGGGCTTATCTTTAAGGGCCCAGGAAAGGACTAAGACCAATTCACTGACAAATATACAAGCTACTCAGTAAGTGCTTTCTAGGGGTCAGAACTAAGTAGTGGGTAACAGGGCAGGACATAGCTCCTGTCCCTGTTCATGAGGCTTGCAAACTGGTTCACTGAAGTTGTTTTGGGTTCAGGATCCTATAGACCTTCTTGTCGAGAGACAAAAGTCTAAGAGAGGCTGGTGGGCCCCTGAAGGGCACAGAGGAAGTACCAACACTAATAGGGGGTGAGGTGGGGGGCTGGAACCTCCGGGCTCTTTAAGACTGTTCTCACACAGAAGTGTGTAAGTTTAGCAACACTCCAAGGAACAAACATTCTTCACTTGTATGAGCTAAGAGCTTATCCTGGAATGTAGGGAGCATTAGGATCCTTTCAACTACGCTAGAGAGAATACCACCTTGTATAGGTGCCCTGAGCAGTCTACACATGGGTCTTCCCAACTCTTCACTCATCCATGAGAGCCTCCAAATGCTCTGACACCCTGTAGGGGATACCTAGTCACTTACAGGTATCTATGCCAGCCAGCCTGTGCAGCCATCAGGCCCATGCCAGGACTCAGCAGCTCTTCCCATCGCTACCTTCACCCAGCGTGGGCTTTGATTTCTGGGTCCATTTTCTCCAGGAGCTTTTCCTTCATGCTGGTCCTCACACTGCACCTTCCTCCCCTCTGAACACACTGCTACAGGTCCCTGGGAAAAGCCTTGAGCAGCTAGCACACTGTCTTGTCGCCAGTCACGTCCCCCACCAAAGGCCATTTGGACTCCATGGGGCTCAGCAAACAGTCCAGTTTCATTATTCTGAATGCGGTTTTATAACAATGCATCATTTATAATCTGGAAATAATGGAATCCACTATAAAATATGTCCCCTTGCTTAACAGAAACAGCATTCTTCCATAATTCATAATATGCAAGTTCTAATGGCTGATGAATAATTTGGAAGCAGTAAAAGCACTCTGTGGCACTGCCATGCTGGCTTTCAGAGTGTGTTCACTTCATCTCTGGTGCCAAATCAGCCAATCCAATCCTGCTCTGTCCCTGTGGTCATCAACTGAGCTAGAGCGATGCTTCTGTCCCTAAATAACCTGCAGGTCATCATCTACACGGCACCAAAATCTCTCTGCTCTACATCCAAACACCCAGGTTTCAAACTGAAACTGGTCTCTGGCACAGCGGCCTTTGGGGCTGACCCTTCTGATTGAGCCAAGAAGAGAAAAGTTCCTGAAAGCTCCAAGGCAAATACAAAGGTTGACCCTGACTGTGGACAGTACCATGTTATGGGGCAATGCACATAAAGTTAGGCCAGTGCCCATTCCCTTTATGTCCCCTCTGTCAAAAAGGGTTAAAAAGCTTCTATCACACTCTCCTTGCCACTATGATAGTTAACCCAAGCACATAGATCAAGTGACTATTGATAAAACACACTGAAACTGTGAACCAAAATAAATGCTTCTCCTTACATTGTCTTTGTCAGCTATCTGGTCTACAGCACTGACAAAAACAAACAGACATTCCTATCTAGCAACTCCACTCTTGCCTATCTAATCACATTAGATATCTGTGCAACTATTTTCAAAGCAATATTACTAAATCATGGGAACAACCAAATTGCCAATTTCTGGATGAAAAGATAAAGAAAGGAGATGATACGTGCAGTGGGACTTTACTCAGCCTTCAGATGGAAGGGAATTTTGGCCTCTTTCACATAAGCATGAAGCATGAGAACCAATACTTGAAAGAGAATTAAGATGTTAAACCATGTGTTATGAACATTTATCACAAGATGAAAAAACTGGGACAAATAAACTTGCACCAGCAACCAAATCTATCAAAACTTTAAAAAGAGACAAGCCAGACAGTTGTGGTGCACACCTTTAATCCCAGCACTCAGGAGGCAGAGGCAGGCAGATTTCTTTGAGTTCAAGGTCAGGAATGAGCTAGTTCCAGGACAGGCACCAAAGCAACAGAGAAATCCTGTCTGGGAAAATCAAAATAAATAAATGAATGAATGAATGAATAAATGAGACAAGAACATGACCATGCATCCAAACATTCTTAGACCACAGTTTCAGACAAAACAGGATGACTGATAATCTTAAATGAGTAAGAATATACAAAACTGCTACCCCTTCTTAATAACAACCTATTTAGTTATATGACTCTTTATCCTACCACACCTTTGCAGTTTTCTTTTAAAAAAAAATCCAGGTGTGATGGCATGTACCTTTAATCTCTGCACCAGAAAAGTAGAGGGAGGTGGATCTGGTCCATATAGGGAGTTCCAGGACAGGCAGCACTATGTAGAGAGAACCTGTCTCAAATCAAAGCAAAACTCCCAGAACAGTGTGACAGAAGTTTTAGTTAACAAAAAGGAAAATACGTTGTAACTATCACTAGTTTTCATGTTATCATGTAAAAAGTTTCATCAGTTTTTATCCTATGGGGACAAATGCTCCTTTATGGTAATCACATTGTGTCAATATTCCTTAAGTCCTAGCAACTACAACAAAAGAAATTGCTCCCACAGTTCAAAACAGCCTATCTACCAGGTCCATTTCCAGGAAAGAAAAAGGGACAGGCCAGCTGCTGGAGGAAGAGGCACCAATCTGCATGTGTCCTAACAAGGGCTCAGGCAGATGATGCAGACCTTGCTGGCCTCAAACCTGACTAGGGTCCTTTTACTATTATTTCACTTCACTTCAGGGTCCGTATTCCTCCCACAGGGGCTGTCTGCTCAGAGGGCAGCAACTCTGACACTGAATGTGGTGGTTTGAATGAGAATGGTTCTGACAGGCTCTTATGTTTGAATGCTTGGATTCCAGTTAGTAGAACTGTTTGGGAAGGATTAAGTGTGACTTTGAGTGGGTGTGACCCTGTTGGAGGAGGTAACACTGGGGATAGGTTTTAAGTTTTAAAAACCCACACCAGGTCTCTCTCTCTCTCTCTCTCTCTCCCTCCATTCTCTCTCTCTCCATGATTTAGTATATAAAGCTCTCTGTTTCTGTTCCAGCACCATGTCTGTCTGCTTCTTGCTATGATCATGGACTAACTTTCTAAAACCATAAGCAAGCACTCAATTATATACTTCCTTTTATAAGAATTGCTGTCTTAGGATTTCCTATTGCTGTAGAGACACCATGACCACAGCTACTCTTATAAAAGAAAACAATTAATTGGGGCTGGTTTACAGGTTCAGAGGTTTAGTCCATTATCTTCATGGAAGGAATTATGGGATCATGTACTACACAGACATGGTACTGGAGGAGCCCCGAGTTCTACATCTGGATTGGCAGGCAGCAGGAAGAGAGAGAGGCACTGGATCTGGCTTGAACATTTGAAACCTCAAAGCTTGTCCCCAGTAACATACTTCCTCCAATAAGGTCACATTTCCTAATAAGTGCTACTTCCTGGTGATCAAGTATTCAATCTATGAGCCTATGGGGGCCATTCTTATTCAAACCACCACAGTTGTCTTGACCACAGGGTCTCTTCACACAGCAAGAGAACAGTAACTAGGACATCTGCAGAGGTCCACAGTGTCAGAGTAGACTCAGAGTTGCCAATGCAGTCCAAGCCCTTGGTAAAGAGAAAAGACCTTCATATTATAAACATGTGAAACCACCAGCTAAAAGTCAAATAAATCCATCCACTCACACTTTGTCCTACTAGAGGATTATACTGGATATCATACCCAGAATGAGGACCCCACCTTCATGTGAACTCTCAACCTTGTATGGTGTGTACAAGGAACCCCTTCTCTATTGAGTGTTTACTCTGTACTCTTTAACTTCTTATAAGGCACTGGAGGGAAAGGAATTGTTGCTTGGATATCCTGCATCAGGCTTTTGTCTTTAACATCAGAACTTTATTTCTCCCAAGACTTCCATACAGGCCTGAGTAGAAAATGGCTCATTTTTCCAGGTTATTAGTTTATGAAAGATCATATTCTAAGATTTATTTTTATAGTTAAGTGTATATGTGTGCATATGAATATGTGCACATGAGTTCAGGTGCCCATGGAGACCAAAAAAACAGAGGCAGTGGATGCCCCTGGAGATGGTGGTCCGCACAGGTGGCTGTGAGCTGCCTGATATGAGTACTGGGAACTTATCTTGGGTCTTCATGAAGAACAGCATGTGCTCTTAACCAAAGCCATCGTTCCAGCCCCACTGATGGAAGGTTTAAACCCTCCTTAACTGGCAGTTGGTCTGTCATTTTACTTGATGTCAAATCAAGAGAATACCGGGCCGTGGTGGCACATGCCTTTAATCCCAGTACTCGGTAGGTAGAGGCAGGGGAATCCCTGTGAGTTCGAGGCTAGCCTGGTCTACAAGAGCTAGTTCCAGAACAGCTAGGATTGTTAAACAGGGCAACCTGTCTCAAAAAAAAAAAAAACAAGTCAACATAATACAAAAAAGTAAGGAAAGACTCACCAGATAAAACTCTAGTGAACACAAAGTGACCCTGAGCAACTGATGAAAAGAAACACCCATCGGTTATGCTTGCCCCGTTGTGATTTTTGGCACTGCAGTCAAACATACCTGAAATAAAATTGTTACAATTTGTTATATATTGCTAAGAATTAATTTACATTAGCAGGATGGGTTATATAACTCAGCACACAATTAGCTTAGCAGCTGTCTAACATTCCCACTTTAAATTCTGATAACTAGGAAACATTACCTATTTGGTACTGTGGCAGCAAGATAATCCATCTCCTTCTCTGCCTGCTATTTTCCCCTGTGCACCTACCTGGAACAGGCCATTAACTTTCAGCAATGACGTCCTGACTCCAGGTATCACTATTGCCATCTCCTACAGATGACTGTGTCCCTCATCAGGCAAGCCAAGCTTCTACTGAAGGTATGATGTCTACCCAGCAGACCGCGGCTGAGAAACAGTACACAGGCACCATGGGCTACACTATCTGCATCTCCAAAGAGTAGGATGTACTGTTTTCCTGGCCTGGCAACCTGGAGAATGTTACCTGCTAGTTCCCAACACATTCATGGTCTAGGATAAATACAGGCGTATCTTCTTGAGGTTATGGACAAGCACACCCACATCTGAAGCTGGTGTGACAGCTACTGGCCTCTGAAGGAGCTCCTCATTTCACCCCCTGGCTAAATACTGTAAGAACTTCCTAGGCCGCTGACAGAGAAATTAGGCACAGACCCTGCCAGTTCAAAGTCTGGGGGACTCTGCTGAAGATTACTAAATTAAATGCAATCTACTGACTTTAACAAAGCTTTGACATCTCTGTTCAGGGTACCATAATATACTGCATGGAATAATTTAGTATATACAACTAGCTGAGGGCATGCTGCCTGACACCTAGGACACAGACATAGCATAATTAGCTGATCACAAAGATGGTTACGGCCAGTGTCACCTCCCATCTTACTCACAAATGGATAGATTCTGATGTAGTCTAAGGAGCTCCCATCTTGTATACAGGCAGTGTCTGAGATCTTTTACACAGTACTGCTAAACTATAAGGGGAAGCTTTTTGTTTGAAATAATGTCTAACTCTGTAACTCAGGTCAACCTGAAACTTATTTAGCCCACCCAAACTAGCCTTGAACTTGTGACAGTCCTCCTGCCTTAGCCTCCCAAGTGCTGAGACGATAGGCATGACTCACCATGGCATGCTCAGAAAAAGACTTCCAAAGGTTTGCAAAGCCTTCAAAGGAATGTGGTCCAACTTCTATGGCACAGGCAGGGCTGAAGAAAGTCACCTAGGTAGGTCCTCTCAACAGAACCAGAACCAGGCATATGGGAAAGCACTCCACTATTGTCACAGATGAGAAATTCCAGTCTTGGTCCTGGTCAGATGTTTAGGAAGGAATCTTGTAAGGGAGCTAACTGTGACCATGTTTCATCATTGGCACCTCATTTCATTACTGGGAGAGTAATGGTATCATGGTGGTCTTCCATCACGAAGACCTAAGAGTCCAGTCACTTGTAGGATGTATTATGTTGTATTTACTTAAAACCAAAAAATCATGTCTTTCTTTTGTAATAAGTGCCATTTCTTCTTGTACAGATACTTGTACAGCTAAATAGTATGTTCAGTCATATCCCATGCCAGGAATTCTACTGCAAAACAATAAAACAATATGAAAAGAAGAAAAGTGTCATCTAGGGTTTCAGAAATTTAAATTTTTATTTTGTGTGTATAAGTGTTTTACCCGCGTGTGTATCTGGGCACCCCATGTGTGCCTGGTGCCCATGGAAGTCAGAAGAAGTTTTGGGTTTCCTATAATTAGAATTACTAAGGATTGTGAATTGCCATGTTGGTGCTGGGAACTGGAGTAGCTTGTACTCTTAACCGCTGAGGCATCTCTCCAGCTCAATTTTTTTTTTAGAACTTAAAAATAATAATATTGGGGCGGAAGAGATGGCTCAGCTGTTAGTAACACTGGCTGCCACCAGAAGACCTAGGTTTGGTTCTCAGTAGCCACATGGTGGGTCACAAACATCAAATTCCAGAGAATGGGATGCCCTTTTCTGGCCTCCATAGGCACCAGGCCCACAGACATACATGCAGGAAAATACCCATACATTTAAAATAAATTTTTAAAAAACTAATATTATAGCTATAAATTGGTTAGCATGTTTGATACATTGGTTTTGCACTGGTGAAGGGTTACTCATGGCCCCAGGTTGAGTTACCACGGTTACTGTATTGTATTAACAATACACTATTGAGTATGTAGTATGCACAGTGAAGAGAGCTTGGGTCTGTAAGTCACACCCTACACTACTTACCTTTTAACATCCAGCTAGGAACCTAGCACAGAAACGAGTGCTGAGCAGGAACGTAGTCCCTCTGGGACACTGTCCTTTACCATCCACCATCCATTGGGCAGTGGCTCTATCTCTTGTGCAATTTCTGCCTTACTTTTACCAAGGTGTTGGGCGTGACCAGTAAAATGTGGCAAAAACGGCAGGATACAACTTTCAAGATTAGGTTACATGATGGTAAACAGCATACCAAAAGTCCCAGCACTCAGGAGGCAGAGGCAGGAAGATTACAGAGTTCAAGACCAGGTCTACATAGTGAGGCATTACCTAAAGAAAAAAAAAAAAAGATACTTGACACCGACTTCTCTCTTCAGCGGGTCACTACTAAATAACCATGAATTGAAGACACTGGGACAGCGCTGTGAGAAGCTCAAGTGACCAGGAACTGGGTGAGGCGCTAGCTCAACAGCTAGAGGGGGGTGCGACCAGTGAGGTGCCTTTAGCTCTTCCTGGGGAGACGCCACTAAACTCGGCGAGAGCAGTGAATGGACCCGACGTCTACCGGAGCACCACCAAGGGTTGCTCACAGTCGTGGGCGAGCGAAGTCACTTCAATCCCGCGCGGGCCAACTCGGCCGTTTATCAACTGGCCGACTCCGCCTCCCACGACCGCCGCGCGGTCCCGAGCTCGCCCGGCGGCCGCTACCTGGTTGCTAAGCACCGAGCGCAGGCGGTTGAAGATTGCCAAGGTCCCCCATGGCCACCCGAGGATCGACAGTTAGGGCGTCCCGAGAAGACCCGAGAGAAACCGTTGAACCCTCAGCGAGACCAATTGCCAACAAATAACGCGTGGCAGCAAGCTCCGCCCACGCCCCGCCCACGCCCGGAGCGCCAGCCACTCTCCGTTCCTCACGCAGGCAGCATCTCTGGCCCCGCCCCCGGCACTACCCGCGAGCTCCTCGTTCTGCTCCTTGCCTCAGGGCTGCGAGCTTGACGCGCAGACCGTGCTGTGGTGCGCGTGCGCCAGGCGCCTCCGCGCACCCAGGAGAGGTGTCTTGGGAAGTTGTGAGGTAGTTGACTAGGACGCTCCCCTCACACTGGAATGTCACTCTTTTATTCTCAACTAAAGCCAAACCCCGAATCTGGTAGAAAAATGTTTGGTTTTTTATTTTTAAGAGAGAATTTTGTTTTGTTTTCGAGATAGGATTTTTCTGTGTAGCTTTGGAGCCTGTTCTGGAACTCGCTCTGTAGACTACGCTGACCTCGAACTCACGGAGATCTGCCTGCCTCTGCCTCCCGAGTGCTGGGATGAAAGGCGTGCGTCACCACCGCCAGCTGTAGAGAGAATTTTTTTGGGCGACTGAAGAGAAGCTCAGTAAGAGCGCTGGGTGCTCTTCGAGAGGACCTGGGGTTCGATTCCGAGCATCCACATACCAGGGGACTTCACATCCTCTTCTGGCTTCCACAAGCATGCTCGGGGTACAAAGTATATATTATATGTGTGTGTAGTGTATGTATAAATGATTTTTATTTGTTACGAGTGCCTTGCATACACACGCATATACACACACACAAAATGAGGCGGCATTTTATGTAGTCAAGGATAGCATTACGTACTCATAAACTCATGTAGCCGAAAATGAATTTGACTTTGTGATCCTTCTATCTCTACAACCTAAGTGTTAGGATGACAGACATGCATCACTACCCCTGATTTTTTTTAATTAAAAATTTTTTCATGCAATATATTTTGACCATGCCCTCCCCAACCCCTTCTAGATCCTCCTCAGTTCTTCCCACCCAACTTCATGTTTCTTCTGTCTTGCAAAATAAAACAAAACCAACAACTCAAGATCCCCAATACAAAATAAAGCAAAAAGTCCACAAAAATGCCATTGAGTGTGTTTCCTGTTGGCTACTGTTTTCTGTTAACTACTCCTGGGCATGGGTGCAATCCCTGGAATGAAATATTAATTATGCATGTCTGTGTGTATGCATGTGTGTACCCTGGGACTCTTGGAGCTAGTGGAAAGGAACTCAGATCCTCTGGAAGAGTAGTAAACTTTCTTAAACCATGAGCCAACTTCCCAGCACCCCCAAGATCACCTAGCACTTGGGGCTCCATCCCAGCCTTACACAATTCAGGTAGCCTGAAGGTTGGAACTCTGGAGTAGTTGCTCTTCCAGGGTGAGTGCAGGGTAGTTGGGAAATGTGGCCTCAGGTGGGGTGCTGCGGTAGCAGTAAAACAGGTTTGAGAGTCAAGTTCAGCACTGCCCAGCTTCCAGCATTTTCTTCTCTAGAGGTGCCATTTGCACATCTGCACTGCTCTCTTAACTCCTCCTAGAGACACGTTATTCTCTCTTCACCCTTAGGGCACTGATGACAACACGACTAGACACGACATCAGACCGAAGTTCCACCCAAATCTAGCAGACCAAACCAATGACTTCAATTAGGGTCACTGACAGGAGCACTGTGGTGGTGGTGGTGGAGGATAGAAAATTATCTCACTGCAAGTGAGCAATTATAGGCAGCACTGAAGAAAAGCTCCCACCCCCAGTAATCATAGACTGCTGCCCCAGCCCCTGGAAGGGACTAGGCTTAATAGGCTCTGAGAAGTTGGGAGAGGTCTGGGGGGGGCCACTTTGTCAGCTGCACGCAGGCCTCTTGTGTGTCGGCTCATGGGGTTGCTCAGCCCCCTCTCCCCTTCACCAGGGACTGAGACAGCAATGGCCTGTGTCATGCCCAAGGATAGAGTTTGACAATACATATAAAGGTTTAGCGCTAGAGAGCAGTTTCCGGTGAAGTCCTCCAGTGGCCTATGGCCCCCCATTTCTACTTCAGAAAACAGAAGACTCACTCAGCCTGTTCAGTGACCAGTTGGTCCAACTGCCACCAGAATGAAAGGTGAATGTGCCCAGTCATAGACTGAGTCCTCTGGAAGACACTACCAGGGACGAGTGTTGGAAAAGACCACAGGAACTCCTGTGTGGGTCAGACACATTGGGAAATAAACTCACTGAATCATGAGCCGCCTCGTTTGGCTCTATTAACCTCTATATTCTCAGGTTGTGACATTGAAAAATACAGTGATTTGCCAGGCAGTGGTGGTGCACACCTTTAACACAAGCACTCCGGAGGCAGAGAAAGGCGGGTCTCTGAGTTTGAGGTCAGCCTGGTCCACAGAGTGAGTTTCAGGACAGCCAAGGCTACACTTGAAAAACCTGTCTTGAAAAACTCTACAAATAAACAAATTTAGTGATTGGTTGCTGGATAAAAAAGAAAAGATTAGAAACTAACACCATTACCTCTTAATGGTATGAACAGCATAGCTTCATTAGTATATTTGTAATTTGAGGCAAAAAATAATCGACATGAAACACTGACAGAAAACCTGGTACTTTTCCTTGGCATGTGAGTGCATGTGTGCACACTTGGTTATGGTAGCTCAAGGCATTTCCCTAATAACTCTCCATCTTTTCATGGAGACAGGGCCTCTGCTTTGAACCTAGAGCTCCCCACGTCTAGTCTAGCTAGCAGCCTGTTCCCCGGTTCTGCTGTCTTCAGTGTCTGAACGCTGAAATTATAGGCAGGCTGCAATGTCTATCGAACATTTATATAGGTGCTGGGGATCTCAACTCGGGTCTTCATGCTTGCAGAACAAATGCTTTATCCACTGAGCCATTTTCCAAGATCCCAAATTCTGTCCTTAACCAAACCCAGGGCATTTTGACAGTTCTAGTCCAGCTAGTCTGCGTGTTCCTACCTTGCTCTAAGAAAGGATTCTGCCTCTGCCTTCCGAGGTTTGAATTACAGGTGGGTCGCCACACCTTTCTGGCATGTTCTGGGAGTTCCAGACATCTTAGCTCCAATCCTCTCAATCACTGAGCCATGTCTCCATCCCCAAAGGCTACCTTTTATATGATCCTATTCATAATACATTTTGGAGCTGGCAAAAGCTATAAAGAGAAAATAGATCAATACATGCTGAGCATGGCAGCTCATGCCTGTGAGGAAGCTGAGGCAGGAGGATTGTTTCTGAGGTTGAGGCTAGCCTGGGCTACATAGATAAGCCAATGTTCAGAAACAGTAGTAATTTCCAGGGACTGAGGGTATAAAGAAGTTGACTAGAAGATGGGCAAACTTGAGAGTTCTCTCTTTTGACTGGCAGGGGCAGCAACAAGGGGAGAGTTGTACTGATGGGCTGTAGAGAGGAGGCATTTCAAATCAGATGGCTCTGGAACTGGGTACTCTTGGCCTAGTTGGGTGACTTTTTTTTTTTTTCAGACAGGGCCTCACTATGTATCGAGAAATCACCATGTAGATAAGGCTGGCCTCAAACTCAGAGAGATCCCCTTGCCTCTGCCTCCTGAGATTAAAGGTATGCACCCACCATGCCAGGCACCAAGTGCCATGGGAACCAGTGCATACAGGCAAGGGGCCCAGTACTGTGTCCTCTGAGGCAGGTGCTACCAGGCTAACAATACAGTCAGTCTAGCTTGAAGGAGCCTGGGCTATCATGCCTAATCTGAAGCTTACTGTTGCGTGGAAGCTTTTATACTTTGGTCAAGCTGCTTCTCGGTGATTCAGTTTCCTTATCAATACAATAAAGCTAACACTACCTAGTGTGCTGTGCTGCCATAAAAATTAAACAAGTCAGTAGACGTTAAGAGTTTTGGATAGGGTATCACATGGAGTGAGATACAGATGTCTACTCCTAATGCTCCATCTTAGTGACAAGCCAAGCAAGGCTCAGAGAACTCCAGAGCTTTCTGCAAGGGCTCAGGTGATTAGGGTCACACAACAGGATTCATGCTTGAGCACAGGATCCTGTTACACCCGACAGCAAATCCCAGCCACTTCCTAGATGGTGCTTCCTAGCTGTGTCCTCACAGGACTTCTCGGGCCTCCTTTATAAGAGCACTAATCCTAAGATAAGGGCTTCCTTTACCCTCACCTTTGCCAATATCCCCTTCTGAAAAACCATCACTATGGCAGGATGTCAGAAAACAGGTATCAGAGACACATGTATCCTGTAGTGATGGTGTTCTGGCCCCGAGCCTGGTACTCAGGCTAGGCCATATTGAGCTCAGCCTGGTACAGCCTGCAGTGTTTTGTAACCATCTCTACCTTGGCTCTGGTTCTTTCCAATGTGGTTAATTTGGGTCTGGTTTCATCCTGGCCCCAGGGCCCTTCTGCCTCTTCCTACTAGAGGGAGGACAACACAGGTGGATGTGAGAAGTTGCTTCCCACCCATTTATATGGGTGACTAGGGTCCAGAAAGAGGCCTGTGTCTCCCTCCTATACGCATGTGGAAAATGGATGGGGAGGCATAGAACTGCCCTGTCTCCCAGAAAGCTCTGTGGTATGGGGACAATTGTCTATATTCTGTCAATTATGTTTTAAATAAACGCTGATTGGCTAGTAGCCAGGCAGGAAAACCACATAGGAAATAGAGGTGGGTCAATGAGAACAGGAGAATTCTGGGAAGAGGGAAGCTCCCTCTGCAGTCCTATCCAGACACAGAAGCAAGATGTGACTACCCTGCTGAAAAAGGTACTGAGCCATGCAGCTAACATATACTAGAATAATGGGCTAATATAAGTTATAAGAGTTAACAAGAAACCTGAGCTAATGAGTCAATCAGTTTAACTAATGTAGACCTCTGTGTGACTTCTTTGGGACTTAACGAATGCGGAAACTGGGCAGGACAGAAAACCTCAGACAACAGCTCTGGGCAAGGTCTTGTGCAACAGGGCAAAGGTGAGAGTGCTTGACCTATGAAGAGATAATGACGGTAAAA